GCCACACTTTCAGGGTCACCTAGGGGAAAAAAGGAACCACAGTGCCATCCTCCAAGCAAGCAAGCTTCCCTCACAGTACTTTTCTGTTTAAAACAAAGGGAGCAAGGCCTGAAACGTAACCACTGCTACTTCTCACCTAAGGCCAATGGAACCAGTTCCCAGCCAATCCATCCACTGATTATGGGTTTGATCCAGCTCCCAAACAAAGTTAAGCAACTTGGGTCAAATCAAAGCAAGGAAGCGCAGACACCAGTGCTGTTTGGCACCTCCCAAAGCTCACCTCCACTTGTATAGACCTCCAGCTGTCGGTTGATGTTGGATTTGTCAACCAGAGAGTGCAGCACATTAAGGACACTGTGGACATTCCAGATCTTGGGGTTGGAACGAAGGAAATCAATTTCCTCTTCAGACTTTTTAGCTGTTTTACAGCGGTACTGGCTGAAAGACTGGAACTACAGGAAAAAGCAGAGATTCAGTGATGAGCAGCTTGTCTAGAGATGCTCAGGTAAGTGCACTAAGCTTACAACTTGCTCACACAAATGCATTACAATAAACTACAAGTTGCATGGAAAAAGTTTCATGTGAGATCACATGGAAATTAAAATGGCAGATTATACCACCTTTAAAGCACCTAAAAGAATTATACGGTATAGAGGGAAAAGGCCAGGAGACAGATTGAAGCAGAAAAGGATCTCTGAAACAACTAGGAAAGGTAACTAAACACAAATTTTCTGTCTAAACAGGTAGAAAAGAGAATGACCAAATTACATTTTTGCATACACGCATCTTTTTCCCTTATATGTACACGTCCTTTTTGTTCTCAAGATTGACAAGACAACACTTCCAGGCAGCTCTATAATAAAAAGTTACATAGTCTCTAAAGAGCAAAACCAATAGCATTTGAGATCTGTACTCAGAACAGTAAGTGGAAAAACATTTCTTAATGTCAAGATCTTAGACCACAGCTTATTTCAAATCAGGTCATCAATCTCCCAGTGCACACATAAGGGCCCTACTGACTAAAAAAAACAGAAATTTTGTTCTGAAAGAGAAATAGACACAAAAGCTCAGAACTCCCCAAAGAGCACCCTGTAACTTAAAAATCCGTACAACTACTTCATCCACCTGGCAACACAAGAGTAACAGTGATCAGCAAAGATTTTCAGCTTGCAATAGTACCCTTGCTATGGAAATCACAGCAAGGGAAGAAATGGAAAATTTATGTAACTAATAGAGGAAAAGACACCCCAAAATGGCCCAGTTTTATAATCACTTACCTGGTATATGAATTCATCAATGATATCCCAGAGCCACTGGTTCGGCAGTTCCAGAGGAGCAGGGCCATCAGCATCTGCAGGAGAATAGATGAGAGGGTTAACACCTTCAGCAAGAACAATGTCAGAACTGGAGGAATAGACAAATTAAACACAAAAATTTCCTTGAAATGGGAGTGGGGCAGCAGATGAACGAAGCTTTCAGTAGCGCTAAGATGCAGCTTTGACTACCTCTTCTGCTTTCACTTTCAAAGACTATGAACACGCACAGGGTTAATCTCTAGAGTGTGACTGCTCAGCACCACCAGCTCTCAGAAGCTGCACACAGACTGCAGAGGTTTATCCCAACTGATCTATTCTCCACATGAGGCTTTGCAGGGAGTCACAAACACTAACATTTGCTCCAAGGGGAGTCAACAACAGTAAACAGTTATGAAACACTGCACGTTTTATTTACTGGAAGTTTTCATTTTACTTTTTAACACAGATAGGTGAAGCAGTTCTCAGAAAGACAGAAAGCTAAGTAAGTTTTATTCTTTACAGTATTTCAGAAAGCACTGGAAACTATTTCTGCTTTTTGTGGTTTTAATTCATGGATGTAATTTGCTCTTCATTCAACTCAAACATGCAAAGAGCTTATGCCTTTCCCTCTATTACTTATAAACAAACACGCTGCTGTTCTTCTGACCCTTTGTTCAGCTCTGCCCCCTCCATCTGATCTTTCTCTCCAAAACTCACAAACCAGAAATTAATTGCAGCAACTCACTGAGGATGTAGTTGAAGAGATTGCAGTAATTGTAATAAGACTCAAATCTCTGCTCCAGCGTGGGTCCCCCCTGCAAAGAGAAGTCAGCAGAGTCTGCTTCAAATCAAGCAGAGCAGGAGGGAGTTCATGGGCAACAGCATAAGAAGGACAGTCACAACAGTAGAGGGTCTAGTTCAGGAGTGCTAGAGCCAGTAATCAACCAGGACACCCACCAGCATCGCCCAGAAAACCTGAAATTGTAGCACTGCTGTCCCACAAAACAGGGATGGCTTTTCCTGTACAGGCAGCTTCTCCCAGGATATCAAGCAGTCAAACTTCCTGTGAATATTCTGCATTAAAGTTCCCTGTTCCCCTCTGCTGTTCAGATTCAAGATCTTCCTATTACCTTCACCAGCTTTCCTTTCTTCTCTGCTCATGAGAAGCCTTAATAGATCAACAATTCTGTTTCTGGACATAATTTCTAGACACTTGACCTGCTGGTTCTTGTTTCAGCTGGAGACACTGAGTCTGAAAAACCACTAACAGCACAGGTTGAGAAACCAGTTTCTCCTGCTGAAGCCTGGCTTGGGCACATAGCAGGCTTTTAAAAGTGTCCATTTCTCCACCTTCTGGTCTACAATAAAACCGCAGTTATTACTTATTTACCCAAAAGTCATGCATCTGTTGAGAATTTTTCCTTTAAGAACCAAGTACTATGACTTTCTCACTGATTAAAGAGGCTTAAAAACAGGCTTGAAAAAAGGCAAAGTTTGTTTCGTTTCACAGAGCATTATTCTTTTAATTTCCTCCTTCTCCATCCTTCATGCTATCCATGTTTCCCTTTTCACAAGGCACTCTGATCCCATGTGAGATTTTTCATGATGAATAATGCACCTTCCTCTTGTGACACCCCTTCTCACTGCCGGCTCATCTGAAGAGGAGCCACAAAGAAACACACATAAGCAATAGAAAGGAAAATTCAGTTACCTTCCAACACCCCCTTCTTCCCTAACTCACTAGCCATTACATTTGCTGTTAGAAACAAAGAGCCTCCTGAACACTCAGATCCAGTCTCCTGATTCATCTGAGCTACCAGAGAAACCTGCACACTCATCACCACCAAGCCTGAAGAGACAGCTAATGAGCCTCAAACAGACAATCAAGTCTTTCTTGCTTTTCAGCAATCAGTGAATCCTTACTAAACAAACAAAAAGCAAGAATTTTAAGCTTCCCTAAAATCAGTGTGACTTACAGCTCATGAACCCATCCAAGCCTGCCTTGCAAAGATTAGGGGACCACTGATACTGTAGTGGCAGCAAGACTCATCAAGTTTGCTGGCACAGAGAAGCCAGCATGCAGCCCACAAGAAGACACAGGGACAACACTCACGCTGACTTTGGCGTAGATGTGCCTGTAGTACAGCTCCTTGTATAGGATCAGGAAAACTGCATCTGGAAAAGATGACAGAAGAGGACATTAACAAGCCACAAGGCCTAGGAGCTTCCTGCCAGAACAATGAAAGGAGGCACAAAAAGACACTTCGTTCAAGTCTGACTTCTTGCCAGGCATCTGCTGAAAGAGCTGCCAGAGTGAACAAAGGCGACCGACTCAGGCAGCAACAGCGCTGTGCACCTGATAACTCAGGGTCAGGAGAAATTCAGTTCCTTCTCTCTCTGACAACCCAAGGGAAAGTGGAAAGACTCACCATTTCCAACCTGAGGAGCAATAGCCTCAGCCTCTGGCCATGGAGTGTTCTTAAAAAACCTTTCTGTCAGTTTTGTCCAGCTGAAAAACAGACACACATGAGGTATGAAAATCCACGTTTCACGCAGTATGACAGTGCTGGAGTCAGAGATGACAACAGAGAGGCCTTGGACTTGATGAAAGCTGAGCAGCACCACCAACCCCTGTTAGTAAATCCAATGTTGAAGCAAATAATGAGAATCACAAACTGAGCAGTAAGACTGCAATTTATCTCCCGGGCATGAAACAGACGTGTACATCACTTCCACACTCCCTTTATGTCAAGCTGCCCTAGCTACAAGCAGGAGTGGAAGTAACTGCTGGGAAGAGACACAAAAGCTATACCTCACAGATTTTTGCAAACTGCCAGACTAACACCACTGAGAGCCCTCTTTGCAGCCTCCCTCCCTGTTAGGCCAGGGCTGACACTTCCCTTCAGACAAATCACAACTCGTCTATACTAACATTGGCCTAATGGGCTGGCAATACCAAGGTGTTTTTTTTTCACAGTTACCAAACAAAACCCGTTTCAGAGAAAGCCCAAGTTCGGAACAGCACAGGTAGCAGCCTTCCCTTTTAACAGCATCGCAGTTAAAACAATGATTTCCATCTGTTGGAAGTACCTGTTCTCATAAATGTCCTGGATCTCGTACACCTTCTGGTCAATAACATCACTGGAAACGCGGCTGGCCTGGAGCTCATACACCTTCTGGTCAATGAGATCTGACACCGTCTTGTGAAAATACTGAATGAAGTTTTTGATCACTTCGGGGATCACCTGGTAGGTCTGCTGTTCGTACTGGCGCTCGTAGGCCAGGTCTTGCTTGGGGTCTCCTGCGGAGAAGGAGGAGCAGTGAGGCAGCGCCGCACGGCCCGGCCCGGGCGCAGGCAGGCCCGGGGCGCGCGTGGGGCGCTCACACTCACCCGTGTGCATATCATAGTCGTTGGAGTAGGCGTAGGGGTCGTAGGCAGCCTGTGGGGAGAGGGCGGCAGTGAGTCCCCGCGAACCCGGACCCGAGCCCCGCGCCCCCCAGGCCCGCAGCCCGCACCTCGTTGTCGTAGTCCTCCCCCGGGTAGGCCATGGCGGCGGCGCGGCGCGGAGAGCGCTCCGGGCGGAAACGCGGGCCTGCCGCGGGGCGGGGCGACAGGGGCGAACGGAGTCCTTCTGTTGGCTACAGCAAGTGCCTGTCTTCAGGCGGCTGGGCCGGCCGCGCCCTTCTGTGTCTGACTGGAGAAGGCAGCTGCCCGTCAGGCTCTCCCGGCCCCTGCCCGCCGCGCCTCTCCCACCCGCTCCCTGCACATTGGCTGCACCGCGGGCTGTGCCGCCGGTGGCATCCCGCCCCTCCCGGCCCGGCCGTGACGGGATGGAGGGCGGCGGCGGGGCTGGCGCGGCGCCGGGGCCGCAGTCGGAGTCAGAGCCGGGGCTGGAGTCGGAGTCACAGCCGCAGCCGCGCATCGCGCTGCCGCCGCTCGGAGCGGACGCACCCCTCGGTTACCTGCACGTCCTGTGGCAGCGGGAGGAGCCCGCGGGCAAGATCCCGGCCCGCCGCCTGCGCAGGGCCGCCCGCCTCCACCGGCGGCTGGGCCCCACGGGCAAGGAGGCGCACGGTGAGCGGCGGGCGTGGAGCCGCGGTCCCGCGGCGGAACCTCCGCTCTGCGGCCGGCCCCGCACGGGCTGCGGCAGGGAGCGAGGGAGGGAGGGAGGGCGGCTCTGTTCCGTGCCCGTCCCTGCCGGGGGAAGGTGCCCGTCAGGAGCGGCCGGCTTCGGGAGGAGACAGGAGAGCCATTCTGTCCTGGTGCCTTGATCTGCTTCCCATTCTCTGGAGCCAGTAGCAGCCTGATTTGGCCCCGCACGTGTGCTCCAGCACCGGGGTGGAATGTTTCAGCAGGGAAACGTGCCTTTTCCCTCTGTACTTTCCAGTAATTGCTTTCTTTCCTCCATAGCTCTGAAGAGGCTGCGTGAAGCTGCCAATAGCAACGATTTGGACACAGGTAAGGCTTCTGTCAGTCCCACTTGGGACCTCTTATTGGAAGGGCGTTATCTCAAAGGCTCTTACTTCAGGAGAGGAGGAAGTGGGTGCAGATAGTTTGTGGTCAGGATGCTTTAGATGCTTCAGATGTAGAAAAGGCCTTTTTAAAACCCCGGTTTGTTCTCCAAGCAGAGTGGGGCTGGTTATTGTTTTCACTTTTTCCCTGCACCTGGTTCATAGTGTTAGTTTTCCATCTGCCTGGACCTAAATCAACACTGTACTGTCCCAGCTGTTTTGGTATGTTCTTTTGCCCAGTTGTTAGCAGCAAGAGAATAATGTTTTGATTTAGGTGAAAAAGTTATGATTACCTAAGCCATACCCTGTATCATGAGGCAGTGTGACCCAGTAGATTAGAACCAGGGCCAGAGCTGGACTCTTCTAGTTTCTGCAAAATTCCCTTGTGATCCATAAATTCTGCTTTCCAGATGTCCAACCTCAACACTACATCTTTCTCTCTCAGGCTTTGTTAATTGAAGCATATCAGAGTTAGTTTATCAAAACTTAAAGTTTTAGTAATTTTTGCAATCTGTGCTCCTACAAAATGAACTTAATGACAACTTTGCTAGATGCTGGCTAAGAGTAATAAAAGAATAACACACTATTTATAATGAATTAATATTTATTGATTATGACTAAACAATCTACTTAAAAGGTAATTAAAAAACATTAGCTAAAATTATTAAAAAGTTCTGACATTTCCAAAAATTCCCCGCTTTGGAAGTGATCTTAAATTTCCTTTATGATTACTTCCACTTAAATCGTTGACTATTTAGCAAAACTTAAGACATTAAAATGCAAAAATTTTGCTTGTAATTCCAAATGAAATTGTAGATCAGGGTATTATCTCTTTTAACAATATCTTGGTAACTTCTCTTGCTTTGTTGATGCACGCGGCTATCCAAAAAATGTGTCAGCTAAAACCAATATGTATCAATATCCCTCTTGTCGAGGTAACTCAGAAAAATCTATTTGCCTATAAACTCCAGGACAGTTTCCTCTTTTTGTAATCCCTAAAGGAGGTCTTTTGTAGGGCTGTGGATTGTGTTGCAAACTTACACACTTACTGACTACACTTTTGATTCCTGGTATTTTTACACTAATTGCTTGATGTTTCAAGTTATCTCTCATAGCTTCTGCTCCCCAGTGTGTTTCTCTGTGTTTATCTTTGGCTGCTTCTCTCATCACTGCTTGAGGAACTATGTCATTCCATTTCTCTTTCTTTTGGCAATATAACATCAACTCTAAAATACCATTTTGGTGTCAAATACCATGAACTGGCCATTTTCCTTGATTATCTAATAGATAATCTAGCCACCAGAGAATACAGTATGCTATTACCAGTTAAAGAATTGTTTTTAAATGCTTTCCAGTGCTGCAAAATACAACCTAAAGGCAAACATTTGCGTATTCCCACTCTTCCTGGGCTCGAGAAGAAAAAGGGAAGCCCACAGTAAATAGAAATTCCAGCAATGACAAAAACACAACACGAGAGAGCGCTCCGTGCACACCAACACAATCCCAGTCAGGGCGGCAGGAGCAGCCGCTGTGCTAAGCCAGGAGAGGGCTCTGAGCAAACCACCCTCGCTTTAACAATTTACATTACCCAAAACCGAACACTTAGTACACACCAAATACACTAAAATTCACAGTCAACTTCAACGCTCTTACAGCCAATGAATTTTCATACAGACTCAATTTATGCTTATGACACACTCACGTTACCACACACTTACATTTTCCAACACTAACAGATACCATAGGCTTCAATAAGCAGAAATATCTGGGCAAAGCCCTTCCACAATGTGGCTCTTCATGCAAGCAGCACTGTCTGACTAATTTGTGGGCAAAGCAGAGGGTGAAGACTCAAACTTAACACCTTTTGATAGTCACTTATATAGTTTTACAATTAGAGTTTTCCAACTAGACAGTGGGACTCAAACACAATTCCATTAATATTCACTTACAGAGTTTTACACTAACTTAATAGAAAATAGCCAATTATATATCATCACTTTCTTAATTCTTACTATGTTAGAGAGTGCAAGCTTATGATTAGGTATACCTTTTTAAACCTTCAGTAACGTCTTAATAAACTCACAGTTTTTTTTACCTTGAACTTGCCTGGATCAGAGGATTGAACATTTTCCCTGAAAAAAGTCTTTCAGTGTGCACCAAAGTCCTTGTTCCTGTAAGTCTGTGAATATCAAATGTGTTGTCTCACCTGCATCACCAGTAAATTGTTACTAAATCCTTCTAAATTGTTGGGGTAAATAAACCCCTCTAACACTTTCTTTATTGTGTTAGTGCTTAAGATGTTATATTGTTGTTGGCTAGGAGGGATTTATGTGGCTCACAAAATTCTGACCTCCACTCAGACTCAGATATAAAACTTCTTCACTTATTTATATTTTTTAGCAAACAAATAAATTAATGTTCATTGGTTGTAATTTGCATAATTCTATTCTATTAATTAGTATGCTGTCCTCTGTGGGGTGTTGATTTCTCACTTCTCATGCTAGTTAGTCTATATTTTTAGTATCTTTCTCCTCTGGTAGGGACTTTCCAACACATATACTGAGCTGGAAAGTCTTTGTTAGTCCCTTCTTTATCTTCTGGTTTCTGCACAGTCCTTGTGGTCCATAAAGTCTACATTTCAGATGTCCAACCTCAACCATACATCTTTCTCAGGTTTTGTTCATTGAAGCATATCAGAGTTAGTTTATCAAAAGTTAAAGTTCCAGTAGTTTCCCCAAGCTGTGTTCCTACAAAAGTACATTATGACAGCTTTGCTAAATACTGGCTAAGAATAATTTAGGAATCACACACTATTTATAATTGTATATATAGATTATGATTTACTAGAGCTATTAATTTAAAAGTTAATGAAAATCACCAGCTAAAATTATTTAAAAGTTATATAATTTCCAACAGGAAGATGAAAGAAGGCAGTTTTATGGAAGTCTTGGTTTCAATCCACCTTGGATTTGATAGGTTCCCATATTTACAGTCCTCTTGTGTTTTGTTTACTCTGCAACTTGAGGAAGTGTGCTATGGTTAATTTATTTTTCAGCAACAAGTAAACATCTTTGCTGTTTCCTGTGGTGGCACTGGGTGGAGAGGTTATGTCATTCCTACTTTGTTCAGGGGAAGAGTAGCTAAAGTGTTCCAATTAATGGTTCTCACTGGGGCACTATCAGTCTCCCATTCTTTCTTCTGAAGCGTCAAACATTCCATGTTAACGCCACTTCTATCCTTTTTGGTGTTCTTGTCAGTTCTGTACCACACTTGAAGTAGGATGTGTACAGGAAGAAATTAAAAGGTGGCTGTAATTCTGGAAGCTGAGATGAATGGTGGCTTTCAGTGGCCTGAAACTGTCTTGACTGTTGTAGAATATGCTGTTTGAAGATTTCAAAATACTGCGAACCTGTCAGCACTTTTAACAGCTATGGAATGAGCTCTACTTTACACACCAGATAGTATATCGGGATGATCTCAAAACAACAGAAGTAACAGCCCTTACAGATGCCTCTAACACATGTTGATGTAGGTGCTATTTTTATGCCCCTAATCTTTCCACCCTTTACTGATCTCTTTGGTCAGCTCTTGGCAGGTTGGTACATTCCCCTGCTTGCTTCCCAAACTGTGGCCACGACTGGTTTGGAAGGGGCATAATCAAAACAGGTGTGAAGAATTGGTTTTTCTCACTGCCTGTGGTTACACTGTAAACTTCTCACCACAAGTCCATGTAAACGTCAAAAGTTTACACAGGTGCAGAATATGACCATGTAAATCCACAGGGAAAGCCCGTGGAGGGGTAGTGAGCACAGGATGCTAATTCTAGCTTGGGGAGTGCCTGAGATGCAGCTGACTAAAACCAAGAGTTTTTACCACATCCTTCCTATGCCTTTGTATTCTTTAGGTATTGGCTGCTGATTGTCCTTGGAGCTTGAAAATTTGTATAGGTGGATCTTTAGCTGTTAGAGCTGTTGGCTTATCTTTTATGGCAACATGTGGAAGGTGGTGAAGGCTGAATCAGAGGGTGGAGGTGATGCTGCTTAGGCTGGTTCTGCTGAGCTAGGATAGTGGTAGCAACTGGTTCAAGTCCAGTTGACTTAGCAGCTGACAGCACGTGTATCTACCCCCAAAAGAGCAGATAGCATTACCTCTCTGATCAGGTGCTCCTTCAGCTTACCTGCTTTCTTCTCCTTGGGTCTGTCAGTGCAGCAACTCTTGGAGGATGGAGCTGACCCCTGTGCTGCGGACGACAAAGGCCGGACAGCCCTGCACTTTGCCTCCTGCAATGGCAACGATCACATCGGTGAGTGGGGGGTGCAGTTCTCCAGCCTCTCTGTGGCAGGGATTTTGAAGGATCCTTTTTATTGTGCTTCAGCACCTGTCAGAGATTGCTCTTTTCTGTTCCTTTTGTGTCAAAGTTGCCAACTCTGGCCCCAGGGTTTGCCATGTCTGCCTGCTGGAAGGGGAGCAGAACCTCCCAGCTCTAGGACTGTACTGGTGCAGAGGGAAGAGTGTCCTTCCTCCCAGTTCTTTGCATCAGAGAGCCCAGGAGCAGTGGCCCTGCATGGCTTTGTGCTGGGTCCTTCTGCATTGATATGCAAACCCCTGCCTTGTAAGGAAGCTGATGAGCTGAACAGAAGCCTGGTGGCTGCCACATGCACCTGTGGGCCTGACCTGTGGGCCAGAGGGAAGGGACTGACATGTCTCTGTTTCCTTGTTTCTAGTCCAATTGCTTCTGGACCATGGGGCTGACCCAAACCAGAGAGATGGGCTGGGCAATACTCCCTTACACTTGGGTAAGTGCCACACAGATGACCTTTGCATGCAGAGGAGTGAGGTGAGAACCTCCTTACTGTTCCTTTCCTCTCCACCTTCCTGTTGCCTGTGCCTCACGGAATGCATCTCCAAATTTAAGCACCTAGGAGGGACTCTGCACTTCATTAGATTCACGCCTCACAAATGTTTAAAGTCAAAAAAAAGGTTTAAAAAAATTGATTTCCATCCCTCTGCCAGCCCTAAGGAGCGCAGATAGAGTTCCAGATAGAGTACTCAGGATTGAGTGGGTGGGTATCCTAGTATTTGGGCTGTTCCTCTTTACCCTGGCAGAGAAGCCCTCAGGGAAGCAGCAAGCTCTGTGCTTGAGCAGAAACTCATTTTTGTTTGTACCTCTGAGTTGTGTGTCCTGTGTTTTCCCTCCCCAGCTGCCTGCACGAACCACGTTCCTGTCATCACCACGCTGCTTCGCGGAGGTAACATTTCCTCTATAACAGTTACAGCCTGTTCCCTTCCTGCCCCGTTGAAACTCCCCAGGGACACCAAATCCTGATGACGGACCTTACTGTCCCTGCTTGTGCATCTTGCAGGGGCCAGAGTTGATGCCTTGGATCGAGCTGGCAGAACCCCACTGCACCTCGCTAAATCAAAGCTGAATATCCTGCAGGAAGGATTCTCCCACAGCCTGGAGGCTGTGCGCCTTGAAGTGAAACAGGTAAAAGAAACAGCTCCATATTCTCGTAAGGGGGTGCAGCCTCTGGCAGCCTCCTGAACCCTTAAATGCCTGTCTGTAGGCTCTTAACTGCTGTGGGAAGAGTTTAACTTCCATTTTCAAAGACCTCCCTTTTTCCCCAGCCTCTACTTTAATTTTTTCCAGGGCCTCCCTTGGCTCTGGTAAGCTAAGGATGCATTGAGTGAATTCTTGGGCTGTATGGAGCATAGTGTTTTCTTCAACCATGATGTAAGAGATGCCTTGTGGCAGGAGAGGGACCACAGCCACAAGGTTATAGCTGTGCCATACACATCCTCTGTATTCCTAGCACACTCTACCCTGCTGCAGTATGTGGAGGCATAGCACATAGCATTTGGAGGAAAGCACTCCTGGGCCTGCAAATGCATGGGGCATGGGCCTCCCTTCAGGAGCCACATAGACACAAGGATTTTTATCCTCTGTGCATGAGCAGATCCTGCTGGAATTAGAAGTCCCTGCTCCTCACAGTGAGGGAAGCTAACTAGCCATAAAGAAAAGTTTGGTGCTTTCAGGGCTAGACTTTGTGCTGCTTCAGCTGGGCTTATCTCTTCTTCCTGTTCTTAACCAGGCACAAGGATCACAACTAATCCATCTGTCACTGGTGAACGCTTCTGGTGACTCATTGCAGTCTGATGATGCTGCCATTAGTGCCATGTAATTGTTTTGTCTGGGTTCCTCTCTAAGGGTCATGTACTCTGCCATGTGCTGCAGCTTCAAGGCTGTGTGCTTGGCCATTTAATTTTTCCTGTAGAAACACTCGAGCCTGGTGCAGCTCTCTGATGTTTGCTTCTTATGCCTGTTTGTTTCAGATTATCCAGATGTTGCGGGAATACCTGGACCGTTTGGGGAGGCATGAGCAGAAGGAACAGCTGGATGACCTCTGCTCCAGGCTACAGATGACTAGCACAAAGGAGCAGGTAGGCAGCATTGAGCTACTCTGACTCACCTCCTTGCATTGGGACTCCTGCATTTAGGAGAATGCAACTGCATGAGCAATGAGGCATTGAAGACATGGTTCTTGCTCACATTGGGTCAGGTGGGCAAGTTACATGATGGCTCATGGTACTCCTTTAGGTGAAAATTCAAAATGCAGAAAGCATCACAGGGCCAAGCAGCAGGGAAGCTGAGAATCAGATGGGCTGAGGATACAGTCAGTGTAAAGCCAGGATCAGCACAACCTCACAGGGTTGCAGGGCCTGGGGTTTTTTTCCTACAAAAGACTGGCCCCTAGAAACAGGCTGTGAGGAAGTAGCCCTGATACCATATTTGAGTTTTGGGCAATGTAGCAACATGCTTGTATTTTAAGGACTGGCTAAATCACATAGAGTGGATGGAGGTCAAGCATCACCTCCTCAAGAATGGAGAGAAGCTCCCATTGCCTTAGATTAGGGCTTGTTTGATGATGAGGATAGTAGCCCTTCTGCATGATTGTTGGCACCAAAAGGATCCTGTCCTAGTATAAGTTCAGCATGGGCATTACTGGCAATTCTAGTGCAAGGGTGGTACCTGCTGCATGGGGCTTTCTTCTCTGGGGCTGGATGGCTGCACAGCTGCATTCCCCTCCCTGATGGCCATCTGTATTCTTTCAGGTGGATGAGGTTACAGACCTCCTGGCCAGCTTCACATCACTCAGCCTGCAGATGCAGAAGATGGACAACAGGTAATGGGCTACCAAATCATCTTCCTGAAGCGGCAGGAGAAGCCTTAGAGAGGAAAGGAAGCTGAAGTTTGCTTCTCAGATCACTGACTAAACATTGCTGCCAGCAGCTATTCCTGCCCAGACTGACTCTCCAATGGTGCTCAGACTGTTCCTGGGGAAGGCAGCAGGCTTTGCACAACAAAGGCAACAGACAAGAATGCTGCAGCTGTGACTTTGGGGTAAAAGAGCTGCTCTACTTTTTACCAGATGGGCTGGCGATGAATAGGGTACCCTTTCCAGAGATATTTTGCCTTCTCCTGAATACATCAGCTCTGACTAGTGCACTCAGCAGCTGGCCAGCATCACAGAAATGCTTGGAACAGGCACCTTTTGCCACCTCCATGCTGCTCAGTTGCATGAGGGAGAAAGTGAATGCCTTGAACAGCAGAAGGCTTTGTGCTATGCGAAGAACACACATTTAATTCTGCATGCTAGAAGCTGAGCAAACATTCTGCCTTAGGAAATATGCACTGAGGCTTAATCCTCACTGTCTGCAGAGCCTGCTGTCAGATGGCAGAGAATGTGTCTGGTTACAAATGGGATACAAAGTTTTTCATGGCTAGACTAACACCTTTCACTGGACCCATTTTTTAAGTCTGCTGCAAGTTAGTGCTTAAATATTACAGTGTAACACTTCCAAAAATACCCAAGTACACAGCTAGCAGGTTAAATCTGTCCTGTTGCGAGCATAAGGATTGGAGTGTGACAGTCTTAATGCAGTTCTAGTCAGACATCTACATCTTGCAAAAAAGCCCCACCTTAACTAACATTTGTGTTTCCTGTTACTGGCAGTCTCAGGCAAGAGGTCCAGTTGTCACAGGAGGTATTGTGGACTCAGCTGTATTATTGGGCTAGGATGGAGATGGATTTACCTCTGCCTCAGCAGCACCAAACCCATTGCTCAGCCAATCTATATCTCTTGCTTGTCATGGAGAACCTCAAGTGGAGTGTGAGAAATGAATTATGGCTTATGCTGGGAGCCTGAAGTGATGCAGCTATGAAGGATGCAGGGAAATGCTCTTGCTGCTCTCTCACTTCTGCCCACTGTGGTTAGCAATGAAGAGTTGTTGTGGAGCAGGGATCCAGGAAGTCTTGTTGATAGGGCACCAACAGCAACAGGGTGACAGGAACATGTCAGTAGTGATCTGAGTTCCCACCTGTGTTCCACACCATGATGTGCTGATACCACACCTATCCTACAGCATGGGAGTCACTGGTTTGAAAGAGTTTATTATAAAGATTCATCTTAAATATGCAGCAGCCACAGTTTGGAGCATTTTTCAGAGATACTTAGGTCAGCATACTGTCTGATATCTGCCTCTTGTTCAGAAAGAGGCTAAGTGGACCTCTGTTCAAAGCTGAGGTACCAGAAATAGGCATGGCTTTTAGATGGGTTCGTCTGTGGGCTGCTGGAGGACGCATCTGGGAGCAGCAGTCTCATGGCTGGGCTAGAGCTGTCACTGTGCATACTGATACTTCATTGTGATGTGCTGGATGGGAAGGATGCCGAGAGGGTGGGAGACAATCTGACCTTTTTGTATTTTCAATTTCAATAAAATCCTGTCAACCTTTTATGACTCCTCAGCCAAGTTTAGAGCGGCCCATTCCTCTTTTTTATGTCTGTTCCAGGCCCCATGCACAGCACTGGACTTGGTAACTGCTACTCTCATACCTGGTCCTCAAATCAGAAGTGACAACACAAAGTTGTTTGAGTGCAATCATCACTTTATTACGGCCTGGGGTTCCCAGTATCAGACCCCAGCTGCCGTAGGTTTCCCTGGGCTGATAAACACAACCTGTCCAGGTCCCTCAGGCAAGCTCCCAGCCGAAGGCAATCTTAGCAAGCAGCTCATCTCTTAAGTGAAATCAGCTCTTTGGTGATTCAGCTCTTCAGTGATTTAAGTGCCCCAGGCAGACTCGTGGGGAGAGAGAGGAGAAGGCTGTATGCAGTTCCACAGCGGTGCCTTTATTGGCAGCTCCTGCAAAGGGTTTCAGTGGCAGCTCTTCTGCTGAACTGGGCAGAAATGGGGTTTTATATAGGGTACAGCGGTGTTAGAAATTGGTCCAATAGTAAGGGTCGAGGCGAATATGACCTATAGTCTTACAGAGAGATAACGAGGGTCTGAAGGCAAAAGAGGGGCTTCTTTGGTGCAGTCATCATGACTAGGCATTTCTTGTCTTAGGCAAGTGACCGCCAGGGAGGCCTTGCAGGGCCTCTGGCTGCTGCACCACTCTGTTTGCAGATCGAAGTACAGGGTTGCTGGCTGACCTTTTCTGATCCTGACATCCACAGCCAAGAAATCCAAATTTAAAATCTAGGTAGTTGCTGTGAAACTGTACAAACAGAGGAAAGAGATTCCCAGCAGGAGTGCTTCAAGCTAGAAGATGAGATATTTTTCAGAGAGGAAAAGCAGCCTTGCCCAGTGGCAGAAGTTGTGCCTTGCCCCATGCCGAATAAAATGGCTGTGCTGTGAAGAGACAGCAAGAGGATAAGGGGCTGGGGAGGGACATCTGGGCAGAGCAGAGAACTTCCAGCGTGGCCCCTATGTGAGGAGCAAGTGACCTTCATGCCCGGTCTTTACTGAACTTGTTTCTTCCCGTCTTTACAGCCCAGTCTTGATGTCCACATACAATCAGCTGCCAGCGCTTCTGCCCTCAGCAGCCTTGTTGCTGAGGAGACCATTAAGGTGCCTGAAGAGCACGTGGCTAAAACGCTCTTTATCCCTGCAGTTACTTTAGTTGCTGATGTTATCTCTAAGTAGACACCTCTTACAAGCTTGCCTCAAGCCCAGGAACACATCTAGCTGAGACTGAGAATGAAGCTTTTAGTCTCGGCACACGTGATGTTGTCCACAGCTCTTCAGGCTCTTTTCTTGCCTGGTGCTGGGTTTTTTCTTAACAGCTCCTGACAGAGGGAAAAGGTGGGGGTGCTGCAGCCTGCCAGGAGCGATTGTCTTGCTTCTTTTCCCACCCTGCTCTCACCATGGCAGGAGAGGTAATAAAAAAACAAATGGTTATAGGAAGTCTTGCCACTGCTTTAGCTGTAATACCAGGTAAGAAAGAGAAAAACACATCTGGTTTTCAATGGAGAAAAAAAATGTATCATGTAGGAATTGTATTCTATGAATCACCACAGTCAATTCTGCTTTCCTGCCTCAGGGCTTGACGCTGTGGGCTGCCCTGAGCCATACCATGTGTTTGGCACTGTATGGAGAAAAGTTTTAGGTTTCTTTGCATCAGCCAGTCATACCCAGAGCCTTAACTACCCTGTCATGCTCAGCAGCTGTATCCAGAATGAGAATTAGGTGCTGGGCAGGGAAGAAGCTGTTCCAGAGAAAGAGAAAACATGGCTTCCCCCTGTGCTGAGAGCTGTAGACTGGCACTGCCTGGTTTTCTTTCTTCTGGCATAGAGGCTTCAGCTTCTCCCAGCAGCTTTTCTCTGTCCTTGCACCCTGTGCCACAGATTTCCCTGTACAACCCGTGAGGCTGGTAGCAGTTTTCTGCATCTCCCAGAGGTGTCTGCTGCAGTAATTGAGAATGGAAACAACAGCACAGGTTTCCCTCTGCTATTTATTTTGCCATTAGAATCAGTCCAAACTCCTCATTTTCTTTGTGCTACACTATCAAATGCACTCCCCAGATCCCTTCCTGGGCAATGATTAGTCCTTGTTCTCAGGGCCATGGTATCAACTGGGACTTCAGGCTTTGGTTCCCTCTCACTACTATCTGACCTCCAAATACACTCTATTTATTTGCCCACCTAATTCAGAGCATGTGATCTGCAGAATTCCCAGCTATTGAACCCAGCAGCAACCTCCCTGGCTCTGAGGCTGCTGCTGTACTGTGAGATACAACCAAAACCAGCCAGACTGAGGATCTGCCCTGAGAGCCTGCTTGTGTCTCACAAAGGAGCCATAGCAGAAGCAACAGCTCTGACAAGGCCTCCCAAGCAAAGCTGCATGGATGTTACTAAGCAAATGACCTTTCTCTGGAGCAGCTACTTCACCCACACAATTGAGTGTAAAGCACACACTGCAATGTGTGTGAAAATCATGAATTTGTTCAGCTCTTCGGCAGCCAAAATAATTAATCTCCAACAGCTAAACTCATTTGCTTCCTCCACCTTTGCCTTTCCATCAGACTTCAAATCCAGCACAGCAATTATCTGTGCTGCTAAGGAAGCCACATGAAGCATCTTTGACAAATTTCTCACCCTTTCATCCACTTCCTTTGCTCACTCTGTGAGCAAAGGTCTCTTCCATCACAGAAAGATACTTAAAAAAAGATGCCTTCTTCATGCATCGTGCCTGGCCATCCTGGGGGAGCAGCTCTGGGCAAGCCAGGACCCATGGGGTGACTACATGGAGGAATCAACAAGTTTGGATGAGGAAGATAATAAAGGAGATATGGAAAACAGCATTACTCTGGAGTTTTTAAATGAAATCTCTGAGAGGGGATGAGAGCACATGGAAGAATTAAAATAATCAGCTGGCAACCTGCTAAGGCTGATGAGCAGCTAAACCCAAAAGCAAATAAGCAGAATTCCCTTCCCAGAGCTGCCAGATTTATGCACAGGGTCATAAGCAGGATGAGCTTCTTGACACCTGGGCCTGGCACCTCCCAGTATGTCAGGCTCATGTCACACATGCCAGGGGATGCCAGACACCAGAATCAGCACACAGTTGGCAGGACTAAGTTACTCCACAGAGAAGAGCTGATGCTTACCCCCAGACGCAAAGCTCTGACCTACTCACACCTCTCCCATTTCATCTACCCTGTTCCAGATCTTGGAACAGCTGCACTCTACTGATGTGGCAAACCAGCCCCTGCAGGGTTAAAGATGTGCTTGTCAGCCTGAGCGATAAAAAGTAGGATAGAAAATAAGAGAAAAGAGTCATTAATTAAGGTAAGAAGCTGGGAGCAGAGACTGCAGAATGCCAATCAGTCTGGAGAGAAGGCTCAGTGGAAAGCAGCAATCAAACTCCTTCAGTTTTAATTAAATCTGTCTCTCTATCAAGGATGGAACATCTTTGCTTCACCTCTGCTTTTGAGCTGAGAAACCAGTTGGAGCATGTAAACTGGTACCGGATAGACAGGAATTCCCTTCTGGCTCCAGAGCCTTCCCAACCCAGGCTGAGCACCTGCATTTCCTTCCCATGTGCTCCCCAAAATTGGGGCTTAGCACCAGGCAGAATGTAGTGAAGGGGTCCAGGGCTTGCAGCCACTTGTCACGCTAAATGCACCTTCTCCCGAAGATCTTCCCTGTCCTCTCTGTCCTGTTTCATTTAGGCTTCACACCAGTGTGCAGCAGTCAACCCTGACCTGATCTGTTCCATTTGCAATCTGGGACCAGGAGGAACAGGATCAGGGGTGAGCAACAGCTCAGCTGCTTCTAGGCAAGAACAGGCAGTGTCCAGCCATACCACATCATTGTTCCTGACTGCTGTTCCCTTCTCCCTCCCACCCTTTGGGCTGTGGAGTGAGTCTTCACCTGAAGAAATGATGAGACCATGTGAGCTGGCCATCGGCCATGGCATCATGTGCAGAGGGTGGCTGCAGAACTCACTGTTCCCAGGAAAGCACACTGGACACATTTCTGAAAGAGATCTGCTGTAGAGGAGTGGCAGCCACCACAAAAGGAGAGAGGTGGAGAAATCAAAAACAGGGAGAGAGGCAAGGGAGGCTCAAAGTGCAGAAAGCAACATCAAGCACTTGAATGGAAAAAGAAAACTGATTCCCAGCAGTGTTGGCCTTCCTCTTCAGTTACCCTCAGCACAGAAAAAGGGATGGCCTTGGAGCTGAGCTCTGGCAAGCTGAAAAACAGCTTCAGTGAGCGTTAGAAATACCATGTCACCTGGGAATTAAGAGTGGGCTGGACAAAGCAAAAAGGAAAGATTTACGCAAACAGACGTAGGGAACAGAAAAAGAAGAAAAATAAAGGAGAGATCGTGGTTCTGCTCATGCATATCACAGCTCTGCAAGCTGCCTGATGTCACCCAGCCTCACTCTACAATGCCTACAAGCACTGGCTGGGGCCAAAAGTCCAAAACACAACTTCCAGCACCATGCATGGGGACAAGTGAGAATACCAGAGGATTTTGTAGCCCATGCAGGGCTAAGGACACCTACAAGTGCCATAACAACCTGTAATTGTTTCCCAGCTTCAGTGTGGAAGTCTGGGTGTCCCACAATGTCACAGCTTTCCCTAAACACTTTTTTCTAAGCTTCCCAATTTTCACCTTCTTTTAAGAAATTGCAGGTGCAGATCTGCCTCACATTAAGGGTTACATATTCAGGACCCACACAGCACTAATAAAACACCATATGTAATTAAAGAAAAGGATGGCTGTTGCAATTGCTTAAAGTTTACTGTGAATATTGAGCTGGGATGATGGCAGGTCTCAGATATGACTACAGGATCATGGAGGAGGTGTTTGAGGAGTTCTGGGGGACTTGAACTCAGTTTAATGGATCTGAATGAGCGAGCTCTCTCTGCCAACATGAAACCATCTTAGTGGGGATAAGGCATGGGCATGATGATCCTGGAGGAAAGCAAAACCACTGTAATGTGATTAGAAAATGTGATGCAAATATAGACTTTTTTTCTTGCCTCTCTAGCCCTTTTCTAAGACTTCTTCTTGGTCTTGTGCAACAGTTCCTCTTAGAGGGGTCACATCTAGGGAATGGCCAGCTGTTGCCAAAATTTCCTCCTCCATTAGCTCCTTCTGAACAGAGACCATGGCACCTTGTACCTGCTGAGTCCATGCTCTGGCACGATTGGCACCTTCATGGTCCCTCTTCCTGGTGTTCTCTCCTGGGGCTTGGGTCACCTCACTGTTGCCTCCATAGAAATCTCCTGTCCTGTTGGGAAAACCTCTTTCCACATTGACCATATGGATTTTCCTTCCAACCCTCTTCTTCTTCTTTTTCCTGATCTTGTTCTGGAAGAAAAAGCAGGTGAAGGCCTGCTTGAAGCGCTTGCGGAAATGCTTGGAGATGAGGGCGTAGACAATGGGGTTGAGGCAGGAGTTGGTGTAGGAAAGGCAGTGGGAAGCCAGGCGGAAAGCGTAAGTGGCCCGGTTGAAGGGAAAGTGGCCAAACCAGAAGCAGAGGATGACCAGGTGGTGGGGCAGCCAGCAGAGGCAGAACAGGATGGCCACTGTGACAATCATCTTGGTGACCTTACGCTTGGCTTTCCGAGACTCTGAGATTCTTTCTATGGGGTCTACAGAAGTCCACAAGAACTTGATGGTCCTAGAGTATGCCAGGCTCACCACGGTCACAGGCAGCAGGTATCCAAATACAAATGTGAGGATGTCCAGAACCTTTCTGCGCTGGTCCTCCCAGATAGGGACACAGATGGGCACACCATGGTAATGGATTATCTGGTAGTAACTGAGGTAAGGCCCTGCGAAGAGCAGTGACAGTGACCAGATTACCACAATGGCCACTCCCGCATTTCGGGACGTGCGGAGATCCCGGGACTTGAGTGGATAGCGAATAGCCAAGTACCTGGCAAGGAGAGGAAGGAGAAAGAGAGACAAAACACAGCATGGGTGAGATGAGGTATTTCTCCTGCCCTTTGGAGCTACCATCTGTGTACCCCTTCCCATGCAGCCACCCACCTCTTCCCTCCCAAATTTTTTGGGAGTGAGGGTTACAGTGAATTCACAAAAATATCAGGGGCATTCCAACAGTGGGCCTGGGGTCTCTATCATACACTCTGCTGTGCTAGCTCAGGAAGGGCAAGCAACGTATCTTTTGAACGAGGTAAGAGAAGGATAGGGGCAGGCTTCTCCTGTTACTTCTGAGTAGTGTTGCTGCTCTAGGGGTTTTGCTGTTCTTGCTTATGCATGGTGGACTCCCCTCCTTTCCAAGTGAGCGCTGGGTAATTAGGCTGAGAGCTTGGCTTGGTAGAGGGGGAGGGCATGGGGAGCTGGGGAGACAGGCTCTGCTGGCCCTACCTCTGGGGAGACCTAACCTGCTTCTTACAAGGACACCTAACTGGGTAAATAGTGGCCTTCCTCCCACCCTTAGCTCAAGAGTGGCAAACACAGTGTCCCTGAGCTGCAGAACTCAAAGGGAAGGGGACACTTACCTGTCAACAGAGACAGCAGCCAGGGTAAAGCTGCTAGCATACATGGTGAGGTAGATCAGGAAATGCACAGCCTTGCAGGCAAAAGCCCCAAAGAGCCACCCATCCAGGGTGTAAATGGTGGCCTGGAAAGGGACACAGCAGATGATGAAGCACAGGTCAGCCACAGCCAGGTTGAGGATGAAGAGGTTGGTGGTGGAGTACTTGACTTGGCCATTCCACAGCAGCACAGCCAGCACCAGCCCATTTCCCACAGTACCCACAAGGAAGATGAGGGAGAAGATGATGGGCACGATAATCCCTGCTGCTCGTAGCTCTGGGCTGTCAGAAGAGATGTTCAATCCCCCTGGCATCTTCCTGTCACACTGCAGGGACCTGCATTGGGAGAAAGGAATAACAGGCTCCAAGGTGCCTGACCCCAGCTTTTGACACTCACGTTTCTCCCAGAGATGCCAGTCCCAAACAGCTGGTTAGATGATGCCACCAAGATCCTTGTGACATCACTGGCAAGAATGCTGTTGTAGTCAGTCAGCCCACATCTACCTGGCTTGAGCAGAGCTGAAGCCTCTTTCTCCTGCCCAGGTTCACTTTACCATCAGAACATCTCCTGTGCTCCCAGCACTCCGAAGGATCCCTCCTGCCCTGCCACCTGGTCTCACCCACATTCCTCCTACATTCCCAAATCTGCTAAACCCCTTGGCATTGCTTGCTTTAGTAGGTCTAAACCCTGGCTAGTGTTCAACAGGGTTTGGCCACAGGGCCATAAGGTAGGAGGCTCCCATGGGTTGCAAGTGCTCCCAGCACACTCAGCCCAGGGCTGTGCCACCTCCCACAGCAGGGACCCGATGCCTGGATCACACCCCACAGCAGCAGCACCCCAACACATTCCCACCCCAAGGGAACGCCTTAAGCTGGGACCCCCTCACCCAGGAACTGGCTGCTCCTTGCTCCCTGTGCAGTAGTTATGCTCCACAGAGGAAAGGCAACTAAATGCACCTTTTCCTGATGCTGAGAGGTAATCAAGGGCTGGATGGTGGCAGGTAGGTGAGGATGGGGAGGAGACCCTGGAGCCACCTGAAATACAACGTGATGATCACTGTGAAGAAGCCTGTTATTATCACAGCTCAAGGTATTGCAATTTGCTGCAAAACTTCCTCCAGCCCTGAGTAACACTGTGCTCAGGCAAGGAACACCAACAGCCTATCTCTGAATAAGCCTTCTCCTTGTTATGCTATCATTAGAACAAATTGTCCTTCTCTGAGCAAAAACAGAGAAGGAAAGACACTTTTATCTAGCTACTGTTGACAAGCAATTAACTCGGTTTTGGGTCATGCCAGCTCCTTCACTCCATGCCCTCCCCTCCCTCAGCTCATGCCACTTCTGCTTCCCAGCTTCTTGGTGTATCACACCAAGAGACTGCCCCTGCCCCTCTGTCTTTGGTCCCCTCTGTCCTACTGATAGCTACTCTCCAGCTTATCCATCTGGCCCCATGGGATCTCCTCACTGAAGCAGAGGAGCCCAGTCTCCTTCTGGGCATGCAAAATGCAACAGGGTGTCTCTGCTCAGGGAGCCTGAGGCCACCTTTCAGCTTTGGAAGCTGTACTCACCTTTTTGAGGAAGGGCCTGCAGCTTTGACACTTGCTGAGGGGGAGACTTCCAGTCCAGCTCACACAGTGGGATGCAGGAGGATGCAGACCACAGAAGAGTTTATCAGGGCAGCTCCGTCATCCCAGTCACTCCTGCCCGGTGCTCCGCTGCCTCCCTCTGCCCACCACCAGCTCTGCTCCCTCTTCTTCTGGAGCTCCTCTCCTCTCTCTCTGACTCCCCCTTTTCCCTCCCTCTGCTCTTGCTGCTGATCCATAGTTCTCTGTTGTTTTTTTTTTCCCCTCTCCCTGAGGTTGGGTTTGGAGTTAACTCCTCTCTGCCCAGCTTTCCTGCAGGCTCAGCTCCTCCCTGCTCCTGCTGAGAAGGGTGGCAGAGAGAAAGCTCACTACTCTCTGATGGAAAAGGAAGGATGGAGGGGGAAAGGGTCCCTTGGACCTCAGCAGCCACCTCTCAATGATGGGTGCTCAGGATGTGTTGTCCAACACCTCCAGGGAATGTAAATATCCCACAGCTGTGAACCTCATCCCTGCCCCGTCCCTCAAATATAGGGTCCTAAACCCTCTGGAGGATGAGAGGTAATTGCTGTTACTAGATGTTATTAGTTAATTGTTAGTAGCGCTGAGCAGATTGAGCCTCTCCCACAACATCTGACCTAGGGAAGGAGGAGAAAGCATGTTTTGAATTCCATCCAGTCCAGGTCTGTACTCCACCAGCACTTCAGTATGGGAGGGAGGACAAGACCTCCAGAGGTCCAGCTCCATCACAGCTGCCTAGAGACACATGGGGGCTGGCTGATGTGCCAGGAGAGGACAGTGACCCACGAAGCCCTGCTGCTATGTCCACCCTGGTGGCAGGATCTGTGCCCTGAGGACTTCTAGCTGCACTGAGTGCAGCTTGGTGATCCTTTCTCAGCAAGACACAAAGGCCACCAGCTTCCCTTCATTGGGAAGGTTGTGGGTACCTCCTCCAATGAAGGTGCAGGATATGGAGAAGGAGGCGCTGGCCCCTTCCCCTCCACAGCAGCCCAAATGATTCCCATTAGCGCAGTGACAGGAGAGACCATAAGGCTTCTTTCTCCCCGCCACCTGCCCCTCTGGTGGGAAGGAGCGAGGTGTCCCCGCCAGCTCCCTATCAGCCGCTGTAAGCAGGGAAAAGGGGAAGGCCATGCCTCGGGACGCGGTGATAACCCAGGGGATGCGGCAGAGTACGAGCCTGCAGCCGGGCACAGCCTGTCACAGCGCTGCTCGCCATGGAGGGACCACACCGCAGCTGCCTCCTCCTCCTGCTCTGCCTGCTCGCACCACCGGCCATCCCAGGCCCACCGCCGCCTCCGGAGGAACCCGGGCAGCCGCCGCGGCCGCCGTCCGGCACCGCGGACCCCGCCGCCCACCTGCTGCGGGGCCAGCCCTCGGCCCCGGCGCGGCCCTACAGCCTGTCGCTGTCCCCCGAGGATTATCGCTACGCCCCCAAGCCCCGGCACCTGCGCCCCGGGCGGCTGCGCCGGCTCCTGGGCTCGGCCTTCGACCCCTTCTGGATGGCGACCGAGGAGCCCCGCCGTCGCAACGGGAGCGTCCTCGAGGAGAGCCTGGAGTCCGCGAGCAGGGACTTGGCCGAGGGCGCCGGGCGGTATCACCGCGAGCTGTGGCGAGAGGCGGAGGGGCTGGAGCTGCCCACCCTGCTGCCCCCCGCCCCAGAGCTGCCCCCAGAGCTAGCGGGGGCCCTGGCCCGCCGCCTGCGGCAGTGGCTGGTGGAGCGGGCCACCTGCCGCCTCACCTCCGCCTGGGTCGACCTGGGCCCCGTCTTCTGGCCCCGCTGGGTGCGCCACACCAAATGCGAGACCGGCCCGCCCGGCTGCTCCTGGCCCCCCGGCATGAGCTGCCGGCCCGCACAGCTCACCCGCATCAAGCTGCTGGCCTGGCACTGCTGGACCCCGCCGCTCCCCGGGCCCCCAAGCTGCACCTGGCGGCACATCCCCTACCCCGTCGTGGCCGCCTGCAAGTGCTCCTGCCGCTGAGGGGGCTGCGGGGGGCTACGGAGGTACCCCCGCTGCCTGTTCTTGCAGCCGAAAGGCCTGAAAAGGCAAACGGCTGCCTGGACTCGCCCTCGGAGCTGGGGGGAAATCCCTCGGAGAAATAAACCTGCAGGAAGGAAGTGGGGATGGCTGTGGTCGTTGCTCTGTCTCACCAAAACCCCTGGGCGGGGGGTGCTGCTGCTTCCCCCCTCACCCACCAGTGCTGTGAGGCATTAGCATCAGTGGAGGCCCTTGTACAGCATTTATTTCCAGCAAAGGATGAGGGATGGAAAAATTATGGCACTGAACGGCAGGTTCAGACCCCGTTTGCAACAGCCCCAGCCGGGGCATCCCTGCCTGCCTGGGTGGGGCTGCAGGCAGGGAGCCAGGGCAAGGGAATTCCAGCCAAAGGTAGAGGTGGGTCATTGCTGCTCGGGGGTGGAAGCAACAATGTGGAGAGGGGCTGGAGTGAATCAGGGAGCAGTGAGGTAGTTTGGGTCTGCAACAAGGCAGCCTAGTGAGAGTAGAACTGGGAGGTGGGCCACAACCCAGGGCTGGAAGCATTTCTGGGGCTAGGTGTGTATAAAAATGGGATGAGGTAAGATAGTCCCATACTTCGAGGTAAAATGGGTGAAATATGTGGATTCCCCACCTATCCCACAGTGCAGAAGGTGACAGGTCCAGACTCGGGACTGCCTGAGCAGCATACGGGGTATGGGGTAGGTCAGGGAGCCCAGGGTGGGAACTGCATCCTCAAAACGTGGCATCTGCCTCTACATTCCACTCAGCAAAACATCCTCTGCTTTCTGGGATAAAAGCTGCCTACAGCTGTAGATCAGACCTAGGCTGGAAGGCCTTGAAGCAATAAAGAGCAGGAAGATGTGCCTCAATTCAATATTAACATGATGCCTCCAAGTCAAGAAGTATGGCATTATTCATTACCAGTGTGCCATCATCTGACCCTCCTGCCTTCCTCGGATTCCAGAACTACACAGTCTGTTCCCCAGACAGCTCCACAGCCTGCTGCCGAGCTTGGCCTTGAAGCAGGCAGAGTGCAGGGAGTTGGCTGCTGAGGCACCCGAGAGATACAGAGGTGAGAGGGAGGTCAGTGCGTCTGGCGAGAAGAGGAGCAGAAGGGCGAGCCCACAAGTGCATGCAAAAAGAATTGTGAGCATCACAGGAGAGAGGCTGCTCTTGCTGCTCCGACCTGTAGCTGAGCAGAGAGACCTCTGTAGGGCTGCTCTGCCAATGAGGAGGACTTGAAAGCTGGAGCAGGGTTAAAGTGCTTGGGTTGTCTGCCCCGAGTGGAGTGGAGGCATCAGCAGGGATGCCTGCAGAAGGCCAGGGGAGAGGGGGAGACCAGGGCTAGGGACCAGCAGGAGGGAAATGTGAGGGAGGGTGGTACAGGTGTGCAATGGAGGTGTGCGGGTAGGGGGAGCAAAGGGTGCACATGCATTGGGCTCAAACCAGCAGTGATTCAGTTTAGGGTCTCAAACCTCCCTATACCTGAGCCCATCTTGCTGAACTTTCATCTCGTCCAGGTCACACAAGGGGCCTGAGAGCAATCTCCCTGCCTTCCCCACATCAAAATACTGCCTGTTGAAAAGGGTTTGCAGCACTGCGGGGGCATGGTGCCACAGAAAGGGATCTCCATATCATAGTTTATCAGCAGGCTGAGCACAGGGCCTGTGGGGATGGAAAATTAAACAAAATCAGCACACAGTTACATGACCAGCTGTTCTAAAAGGGTTTGGCTGCAATCCTATTAAACCTACAAGACACATTTCTCCCCTGTCCTTTGCAGCTTTACAAAGCCCTACGGGTCCTGGAGTAACAGCTGTGTTCTTCTGCAGTTGCTCTGGCTCAGGTCAGACATATTGCCCTGTAGTTTGTTCCCTGACAGCCTAGCAACACATAAGGACTTCAGAGCAGGTCTCTGCTGACACGACCCAGTGCTCCAGCACTCAGGCACAATACATTCCATTTCAGCTAGAATCTGTCCCTGGCTGCAGCTACTCATTCAGCACATAGGCAGCTGGCAGGACACACAATTTCTGATCTGGAACAGAACTGATGCAAACAAAGCAATCCTAAGAGATGCCCAGGTCCCACTTGTGCCTTTTTGAATGCTGAAATACTACAGCACAGCTAGGAGGAACAAATCCAGAAATTCCTGCCATATGGAAGAAAGTTAAAGGTTTCTGTCACTTGCTCTGCCCCTGGCCTCAGCCTCAGTCAGATGCAGATCCTCTCGGCACGCTGCTGGCCTCTGCCTCCTCAGCTTGCCCACTGCCTGATGGCCTCTCTGGGGCAAGATGTCTTTCCCAGGGCAGGTTTGGGACCACTGAAGCAATTGGCAAAGCCTAGTAGCTGGGGACCAAGCAAGCCTCACATCTAACACCTGAGAGTGAAAAGGAGACAAAGGAGCACCAGAGCTAGAGCTTTGGGGGGCCCATATCCTCTTTCCCTAACCAGCTGCTGGTAGCACAGGTTGCAAAAAGTGTAGGAAACACCCCTGCCTCAGTGGGGAATTGCAGCAGTCAGATCTGCCAGGGTGATGCTGCTGGACCCACAGGACAGCATAGAAGAAGCAGGCAACATCAGCAACGCTGTTATTTCCATCAGCAGGAGACAGCAGGAACTGCAGCGCTTCACCATCTGGACTGAGGCTTCAGGAAAGGCATAGCAGAGTGTCTGGTCACAGCATGAGAGGATGGGGATGGGGTGCAGCTCCTGGATGAGGAAATAGGAGGCAGACAAATATCCGCTGCACTGCAGGACACCTTTAATGACACTTTTAAGTGCTGTTTACCAGTACTACTGCCAGCATGCTGCAACAGCCAGCTGGCTGACTCATGTGACACAGGCTGTGATGCCTTGAGGAACGGTCCTGCTTTTGGCAGTGTGCTGTTCAAGCCTTTTTCCCCATCAGAGGCACTTGGTTGTGGGCAGGGATGGCTCTGAAGAGGTGTTTTCTGGCCCCTCAAGACAGCGCTCCGTGCTTCCGTCCCACCTCGGTGAAGGCTTCCACACAGCGGTCGATGTCCTCGTCACTGTGCACGGCTGAGATCTGGACCCGAATGCGCGCCTTCCCCTTGGGGACCACGGGGTAGCTGAAGCCAATGACGTAAATGCCTGGGGAGGAAATGCAGACAGTCAGAGCTGGCTGGGACAGAGACAGGCTGAGGTGTACTGGGTGACAGAAAGGCTCTCCTCCCAGTAACCACTTCCAGCCTTCAGGGTTTCCAAGTGCCATTTGCTCCCAAGCATGGAAATGAGGTTAAGGGCCAGCAATGGGGATGGAGTCCAGCCTAGCAGGACAAGAGCATTAATGTAAATCCTCTCCCTAACTGAGAAAGAAGGTGCAGCCAGCAACATCTGGGGGAGACCATGAAGACATTTGCAGCTGGAGGGGGAAGGAGTACTGGATTTTGTGCAGGAACATCTTCTGAAGGAGGGCACCACCGCCAACTATCCCGTCCCTCAGGGAATGCGTCTGCATACTGAGCTCCCTCCCCAAATCACCTCTGTTGAGCATGTCCTCTGCCATCACTGACGCCAGCCGAGCATCCCCCAGCATGACTGGACAGATGGGATGGTCTTTCCCCGAGATGGTGAAGCCAGCCGCCGTCATCTTACTTCTGAACCTGGTGGAGGGAACAACAAGATGAGTAAAAACCTCAACAACCCTGTCCTTGGAGACCACTGCCTTTCTTTCCCCTGGGAGCCCTGCCCACTGAGAACTGGGTAAGGTTTGCTGCACTGTTCATCTTCTGTGCAGGGAAGAGATCTCTCCTCTTAGAGTGATCTCCTACCGTGTCCTGCCAAGCATAATGAGACTGCAGATCCTTGAGGGGACAATGTGCCCCAGCTCAAAGAGCATCCAGATGTGACACATCTGCCTGACACAGACAGGCAATCCTGCAGCCTCCCCTGAGCCCCGATTTGCAGTTATCTGTCTTCACAGTTATCACTGGGAAAGGAGGGGTGAATACATCACAGACAACTCACTCCTAACAAAGCTGCCCCTGCTCCCACCCCAACATGGCCCCCTCACCGTTGGGTTTTGGCAGCCATAGACTGTGCAATGGCATTGCTCTCCATGAGCAGGTCCAGGGCCTTGGATGCACAGCCCACCACGGCAGGAGGCAGGCTGTTGGAGAAGAGGTATGGGCGGGAACGCTGGCGGAGCAAATCGATGAGGGATTTGGGACCTGTTGTGTACCCGCCTGCAGACAGAGGAGAGAGAATTGGACAAGGCAGCCCAGGGTGACCTGTTTAGAGTGAGGCTTCTTGATAAAGCCAACCTGGCACCTGCAGCAGGAATTTAGGTACAAACCAGGTCTAAAAATCATAGCTGATGCTTTTGACCAAGAGTTTCCACCTTGACCCCAAAGGCAAATGCATGAGAAAGACGACAATGTAACAGGCACAAGGCAGGATCTCCCTTAATCCTGCAGCAAAATCACAAACCAAACCTTATGCCACCAGTGGAAAAGGATAATATGCATTTGTTACTCTATCATTAGGCAGAGGAAGGAAATGCAAGATCGATGTTGTAGAGCTCTTTAGGGCATGCAGTACACTGGACAGGAAAATGCCTTCACCTGCAGCTCCTCCAAGAGCTTTTCCTAGAGTAGAATTGATGATGGTGACTTTGTCCATCACTCCCAGGAGCTCATCAGTACCCCTGTAGAAAAAGGAATGTTACGTTATCAGCTGTGCCAGCACACACCAGGGAATCTGCTGGATACCTCAAGGAAAACAATGCACTGCCAGCCAGGTCTCTGGCATCCCTCCTTCTAGACAAGGAGGAATAGCCCCTTGAGATAGTTCAACCCAAGTGTTGACCTTCCTCTGCTGCAGAAAGCCTAAGCTGGGACCTCACCAAGTAAGAACATGTGTTCTTCATCCTTAGAGATGGGAAAGTGCTCAAACTTCCCACACAGAAGTTTAATAGTCCAAACAAAGGACCTGCCAGGAGAGGTGGTCCCCGATGAGAGATGGTCAAACCATCTGTTACACACTGAGAAGCTGTCACCTGGGGATGGATCACTGCTAAAGTATCTCCTTTCAATCCAAAGGTGAGGTGCAAAGCCCTCAAGGAGTCCCCACACAAAAACACGCTGGCCATCAGCAG